TGTTGGAACTAGGTGATCTTTAAGGTCCCTTCCAACCCAAACCATTCTATGATTTCAGTTCATCTCTTGCTTGGAAACATGGGTTATTCTGTACAAACTTCTGGAGGGGGAACTAAAGGTCTATCAATAAAAGCAGTTATGTTCATATAAACTAAGTTTCCTCACAACGACTCCAGTTAATAACCCTGAAAACTAGTTTTAAAATAACTGAAAAGAGAATCCAAGCTGAGTTGGTCTTGTCCTGTCTCTTCTGACAAAATGATGTTAAATGAACAAAGATAAAGCAAAGCTGATCTTTATAACACTTTATTTTTCACAAAGCTTTTTCTTTGCCAGTGCAAGTCAGTAGATGACAGGAGGAGTTCTGCTTGCCTTCTCAGTGTGGCTACTCTCACCATTGCTCAGCACCTCTCAGTACCTGGTTTTAAATACCTGTACCTTTTGAGTTGCCAAGTCATTACAAAACTATCTGGGTGTGTGGTGGTGATGGAGGACAGTGGAAAAAGATTAGACAAAGGTCACGTCCTTAGCTGAGAGCTGGTCTCGGCACAGTAAAGCACACCAGGAGAAAGAAAAAGCTTATGGCATTTTTTTTGTGGTATATTACCTTGCTGACACACTGTTCTAACCTATTTTCTAGGTAAAACATCACAATGAAGGTGGCGGTTCTGTGTTTCTGCCTTATCAGCATCACTGCTGCATGGCCAGTGAGTAAACCTCAAATGCGTATCAGCAATCGCTTGCGTATTTTCTTTGCATATTAGCAGAAAGCTAATACTGACAAATGCTTTTTCTCTTTTCTCCCTTCAAGGTGAGTAAATCCAAGCAGCATGCCATTTCTACGAGTTCTGAAGAAAAATATGTAAGCTCCTTTTCTCTATTAATTTTCTTTAACGAATCCTTTTTGAAACACACCCCCCACCCCCAATATACAGTCTGACACTTGTTTTACGATTGTAGCTGCTTGCAGAACATGCCCTCACCTGGCTGTTATATGCCAGTTTCTCAGGTAGCCAAAGCAGAGGGCCACTGACATCAGTAGACTTTTGCCATGTTAGGTGTCCTGGTTGTGGACTTGGGTAACTGCACATGTGGACCAGGACTGGAGACCTTCCTTCTTAATGAAAAATGTGTAAGCCATCAGTTAAAAAGAGAAAAGGACTGTAGCACGGCACAACTACTATAACCCACATTCCTTAGTGTGGATCAGATGACAATATTCAGTGTTGTAAGAGAACTTTAATCCGGTTTTCCATTATTTTTTGGGGTGCTATGAGTGAACTGTATTATCACTAGCTACTGTCCATGTAAAATTGATTCTTTGCTCTGACAGTCAGCTACTGCATTTAGTTCAGAGTCTTCATGATGTGAGGGATAAATTAGTCTTGGGAAAAGGACCAGAGAATTAGCAGAAATGATGGTTGTTACATATGACTCCAAATTTCACTCTGTACAAACGAGATGGAAAAACTTATCTGAAATTCCCCAGGCTCTGCTAGGGAGAGAGGCACATCTTCTGTATGATATTGTTTGGGTATAATGTCCATCTGGGATCATGGCTTGTTTTGAGTCCACTTCCTACCACAACGAATTGCTGAGGACACATCCTGTGCACAAGGAGTATGTATTGCAGATGCTGCATCTGCCTGAAAACAGAGGTTGAGCTGTGCCTGCTCCTGTATGTTCCTCTGTAGATTAAACACCTCCCTCCCCCTCTCCCTCTTTTTTTTCTCTTGAAGGACCCCAGGGGCCATCACTCACACAGATACCATCACGACCACCACGACGTGAATTCTCAGTCTTGGGAGAGTCTGCAGCACCCACAGAATGACCTGGCGTCACCTCAGCAGGTACGGGCAACCAACTGGAAGAGAAAGCAGAGCATCTTTCAACGCCAAGACTTGCAAGTTAGGATTAAGTGCCTAAAGAATAGTCAGCATGTTAATCAGCTGTGCTAATACTGAATTTTATGTTGTTTTCAGACTCTTTACTCTTCAGAAGAAAGCGCAGGTGTCCCAGTACAACCGGTAAGTGTTTTGAATTGCAAAATGTCAGTCGAGTGCTGCAGGGCGGCCAGTGTGCAGCAGCACTCCTTTTCCTCAATCAAATGTGGTTCCTGTGGTGACATCTCTCCCTAAACAAAACAAAGCTTCAGCAGGGTGAGGCGAATTCACAGCAATTCTTGAACGTAGCTCCTCAACAGTGCATAAGCCCTGTGTGAGCAGGACAGATAACATTCTGCACATCTTACATACATGTTGATTTGCCTGATGCATAATAAATGTTTTCCAGCACTTTCCTGAAGTGTCAAGCAAGAGCCATGAAGATGTGGATGATGACAACGATGATAATGATTCCAATGACACGGATGAATCCGATGAGGTTGTCACGAGTTTTCCCACAGACATTCCAGTAACTGTACCCTTCCCTCCTTTCCCTTTCACCCGGGGAGACAACGCTGGCAGAGGCGACAGCGTGGCTTACAGGATGAGAGCAAAAGCCACTGCAGTGAAGGCTAGCAAACTCCACAAAGTGGCAAAAAAGGTAAATAGGACTGAGCAGTGGTAGCCAGGCTTTTGGAAAAGGGTAGTGAACTTGAAAATGCACATGTTATTTTATGGGAGTCCATTTTGAAAAGGATTGGTGAGGGGAAAGTAGGCATAAGTGAAGGAATGTATTTCCTTTCTCCAGACACCCCAAATCCGAGGGTATTGATAGCTGTTGATGTGCTGAGGCAGGAGTGGAGCCTGCTGCTGCAAGCTATGCAATACTGCAGTTTGCACTATCGTGACATACTTGCACACATGAAATCTGAGGCCAGGATAAAACTTGAGTTTCTTGTAATGTGGGAGGCTCATAAAGCTCCATAAAAGACCACTGTGGCTCCAGGCAGAAATGTATCATGCAAGCTTTGGGTGTCTGTGCAGCCTTCTTCGGTGCAGTACAGCAGCACCTGTTGACAGACCACTTCCTCAGAAGTGACAATGGCGCTTTCTTGTTTCGCTCTCTAACACAGCTCATTTTGTATGATGCCACCAACGAGGATGAGGGTGACCTGGATGCAGACAGCCAGCAAGCAGGGCTCTCCCAGGAGGATTCTGCTGCTGCCCATCTCTCCCTGGCGAAGCATGCCATCAGCAGGGAATGGGCTGACAAGAGCCACAGGCAGGACAGCAGCGAGCTGGACAGCAAGCAGCGTGACCGGAGCATGGAAAACGACAGCCGGCAGAAATTCGATAGCCACGAGGCTGAAGATGATAGCAAGGCTGGTGTCAGAGGGGATAGCCACCAGAGCACGGAAAGCAAGGAGAGTCAGGTCCGCGTTTCAGCCGAGATCCCCGACGATAACAGCAATCAAACGTTGGAGAGTGCAGAGGATGCTCAAGATCGTCACAGCATCGAAAATAACGAAGTCACCCATTAAAGGGAGACAAATGCAATGTTTCCCTTCTTTTTCCATTCCTACCTAAGGGGGGCGGGGAGTAGCTTCATTTCGGGTAACTGTAAATGTAGAGCGTGTGGTGGCTTTTCGGGTGTGGGGTAGCTTCTTGACCAGTGGCCTGGCCTTGGCCACCAGCAGTGTCACCAGGCCTCTGCACTGCATGTCCCGCCAGCCTCATGGGACGGGGTCGGCAGAGGCGTGGGAAACAAGACGAACGCTGTTGGATGCACAGAGCGAGCGCTGCCTCCCTGGCGCGCTGCTCTCTGACTTGCCAGCCTGTGTTTTGCTGTAACTGGAGTTAAATAAAACCCGTAAAACCCACAAAACCCTGTACTTGCGGGCTGCGTTACCGTTTGCTGAGTTGGGGTGGGGGGGAAGGTTTCTGGCTGCGTGAGGAGCTTTAGTACCTCTCTGTCTTAATTTTACGTGAAGTAGCCGTTCCCCCCCAGTTTCTAAGTGGGTAAAAGCCCCCCGCGGGATCTCCTTCTGCCTTTCCCCAGGGTGGTTCTGAAATCCCCGCTGCACC